ACCTTTTATTCTAGGAGTCTACCTTTTTTCAGTTCTATATATTCTAAGTATGAGTCCTCTGAATAAGAAGTAGCTAGCAATTTTTCTCCCCATTCTGTAGATTGTCTCTTAACTCTGGTGTTGGTTGTTTCCTTCGCTGTGTATAAGCTTTTTAATTTGATAAAATTCTATTTGTTGCTTCTTTGTATTGCTATATCCTTGTACAACTGGTATTCTGTACCATGCCTGCTCATTTTGATTTTACTTTAGTTCAGGTTGAGCAATAGTGGTCTAGATTCATTCTCCCTCATGTGGATAGCAACTTTTTGCAGCACCATGTGATAAAGAGGCTCTCTGCCCTTCAGCATTCTTTTTTGGTCCCTTTGTCAAAAACCAGATGGCTGAAAGCGTCTGAGGTTCTTTCTGCATCCTCTGTTCTGTTCCACTGGTGCACATGTCTGTTTTGTGCCATATATTTCTCTGACAAAGAAATCCTAAAGAAGAGATTTCTGTTCTTAGAATATTATAGTTTTTATGATAGATATCTTTCACTTCCTTGGCTAGGTTAATGCTTAGGTATTCATATTTTTGAACCTATTGGGAATGGATGCTAGATTTTGCCAAAGGCTTTTTCTGTGCCTATTGAAATGGTGTGATTTTTATGTTTCCTCCAAATACAATGTGTTATATCATTAAATCAAGTCTACTGAACCAACTCTGCATCCCTGTGAGGAAGCCATGTTAGTCACGACACATGATCTTTTTTAATGATTGGTTACATTCTGTTTGGCAGGATCTTGTTGGGAATTTTTGTGTCTCCGTTAATTAAGCACCCTGATCCGTAGTTTTCTTTAAGTGTTTATTTGGCTTGGTAATGCTAGCCTCCACAATGAGAACGGCAGTAGCCTTACCCTTTCAATTCCATCGCGAATTGTAGAAATATTGCTGTAAGATCTTCTCAACTTCATTATTTTCTGCTCTTTTTTGCCTTTTTGAGACAGGGTCTCACTCTGCAGTTCAAACTGGCCTTGAACTCACTCTGCAGCCCAGGCTGACTTCCAACTCTCAGTGATCCTCCTGCCTCAACCTCCTGAGTGTCGGGGGTACAGGTGTGTACCACCACACCCAGCTTGCTGCATGTTGGACTTTGTCATTTCACTTGCTCGTAGGAAATTTTTTATTCCACGGTTTCTTCTGTGAGTCACTGATTATTAAATAATACACTGCTCAATCTCCATGTTTTTGGGTACTTCTATGGTTTATTTTGCAGTTGATGTCTAGCTTCATTTCATTATGATCTGAAAGTCTGCAGTGAATTATTTAGATTTTTTGTAGTATCGCAAGCAAGACTAAGATACGAACTCCTTGGGAAAAAGGAAAATGTGTATTCTGCTGACTCTGAAGTACTGTAGTATCTGTTAAGTCCCTTTGTTTGATGGTGTGGGTTACCTGTTTCTTTCCTTTCTATGTTTGATCAGGTGACAGTGGGGTGTTGCTGCGACCTGCCATGTCTTTGTGGTATCCACCTGTCCTTTTATGTCATCAGGTTGGGATGACCACCTTCGGAGCATCCCTGTTTATAACCTTTTCTCATTGTTGCCCTGTTCCCTTTACCAGCATGTAGTGGCCATCTCTTCTCTTCTGATCAGTATTGCTGGAGGTCTGCTGTGTCTGAAAATAAGTTGGCTACTCCTGCTTGGTTTCAGGCTCCAGCTGCCAGGAGTACTTTTCCCACCCTTTCACTGTTAATCTGTGAGGCTCCTTTTGGATAAGGCATGTCTCTCTAGGCAATATATGACGGCTGCAGTTTGGTTTTTGCTCTGCCAGTCTGTGTGATCTCATTAGGGCGTTAAAAAAAAACCTGACATTGAGAGCTACTACTGTACATTGTTTACTGAATTCTGTCATGGTATGATTTTTTTTTCCAGTGTTGATTCCTTTGTTTTTCTCTTCCTGTTTACTCTGCCAGTTAAAGGTATACTATCATTTGTGCTCTTCAGTGCTAGAGGCTTTGCTTTAATTATGTGTTAATGGAGAGGTAATTTTCTGGCCATAGCTATCTGAATTCGGTGTGCCTCTTGCATTTGAATATTAAACTCTTATCCTAGATTTAGAAAGTTTTCTGCTATGATTTCAGTGAATAAATTCTTAAACACTGTTTGAGTCCTTTTTTTTTTTCTTTACTCCTGCAATTTCAATATATATGATTTTATTCATATTATAGCTATTAGGTATAGCTTGCATGTTGTCTTGTCATCTTTAGAGGATCAATGAGTTTACGATTTGCTGCATCCATGTTGTCTTCAATTTCTGACACTGTCTCCACACTGCTTAAATTTGGTACCCATGCTTCCTACTGAATATTTTTCATATCTTGTATTTTTGCTTTGCTTTTTCATAATTTTTATTTCTTTATCAAAGCGGCCACTTATATTATGTATTGTTTCATTTAATGCAATTAGTTTTTTGTTTCTTCTTTTAGCTTGTGGAGCATTTTATTAGTAAAATCCTCTATTTCAAAAAATTCTCTTTAACATGTATTTGCTTGTGTTTATTCTCTGAGTTCTTCAAACCTTTTGACCATCTTGTTTTTGAGCTTTTTGCCTGTCACTTCCTTTCCTGTACTTTATGTGAGAACTGCCTTAGGGGAGTTAAGCATTTAAGACGCATCTTGATGCCCTGCTTTGTGATACTTCTTATTGTTGTGCTGTAGGCTGAAGATCAGCTGGGGCAGAAACATTGTCACCACCGTGGTGGTAAGCTCTTCAGTTAGAATCTGTCTCTCTGTGATGTGGCCCCGTGAGTTTGCATATGTTCTGCTGTTTATATGCCTCTTCAAACTACTCAAGAGTAATATTTGAGGGTCTCAGTAGTGCCCAACCTTCTTCTGAGAGCTTGATCCCCAGTACCACACAGAGAGAAGAAAACAGACTGCAGTAATGTTGATGATCCAAAGATAAATCAGATTGCATACAGTGAAAACCAATTAACAGCAACACCTAAGCCACCATTAGCCATCACAAAGAAATCATCAAAATTAGTTAAAGACAAACCAGATTTTTGACTTACCATTAGAAGCAATAAAGGCTACAACTACAACAACTTAAACAGAAAAGAGATCTGGAGTAATAACAGAAACAAAGACAAATCCAATATTGACAAAGAATAACCACTAAATGCAACATCTATACCATCAACACAGAAAAGACTTTAGCAATAGTACAGTCAACTAAACATCAAAAACTAATAAAGTTTAATACTAGTAATATTATAATAATTAAAACTGCGAGGGTGGGGAAAGGGAAAAAGTAAAATTTGGAAAATTAAGTAAAAGATGAGATGGAAGAGAGAAAAGATGATAAAGAATCCAATTAAATGAAGTTTAATAGAATTATATATAAGTAATACAAATAAATAAAAGAGCAAAAGAAAGGTATGAGAGGCAGACAGAGACGGAGAGAGAAAGAGAAAAGAAAAACACACCAACCTCAAACCTCTGTGAAAAGAGAGAAACCATTCAAAGATTCTTCTGTGTATTTGAGTGAATGGTTTCTCAAGGGCTTGCAGTACTGCAGAGACTCCACCAGATAAGGGATGGGTAGCGAGTTACACCCAGGTCCTGTTTTGCTCCCAAGCACACTTCTTAGTGTGTGCGCTAACCCCTCCCCCGCGTTCCTTCCTAGGCGTGGTGCACCTACAGGCTCGGCTGGATTCGCTATAGCAGGGCCTCGTGTTTCTGCCCCTGCCTGAGTCACTGTTATTGACCTCCATCTGGTTTTATGGCCTGAGGGTTTGTGAGGTTCCTCCTTGCTCCAGAGCCCCCTCTCTCCATGAAACCTGGGCTTGGCAACCGTCCAAACTGAGACATAGCCCTGATCACATTAGCAGGGAAAAACACACAGACCACTGAGCTCTGTGAAATAGGTAGAGAGAATCAAGCCCTGTGCTGGACTTAACACCAGCACTTTCTGACTCAGCCCCCTGAAATTAAAACTCCAGTTGAATTGTGAGTCTGGCTGAGGCGAGTACATATTTCATGAAAGCAGGCAGCTGATAGTGGATAGCATATAGTTTACCCTCCACCGCTATGGGTGGGCTCAGCTAATCGAGCTGTGATAGCACAGGTTAAGATACGAGATAACGTCTCCGCATGATTCCAGAGAAAAATTCCTTCCCAGTGTTGGCTATTAAGCAGGTTACTCGTTGACCTCTTAACCTAAATCTGGTTGTTCCTATCCCTTTGGCAAGGGTGCTCTGTGCGCTTGGTTCCGGGCTCTGCCAGCCTCGCCACCTGTCTAATGTACGCAGTCACAGTCCCCTCACCGTTTTCCTCAGCAAATAAACACCAGGTTCTGGACGTCCTGTGGCCTTTTGTTTCCTGAGAGCAGCTGGCCATCCCAGGTCCCTGCTATGCATCCCTCTATTTTTGTCTCTTGCTCTTCCTTTCCTTTCCCACTGTGCGCCATAACCTGAGCAGGAGACTGGAACCCCTTGCAAGGTTCTCTAATAACTTATCCAGAAAAGACTGAGGGCATGACCATGTGTGTAATGACATCAATAAATGCTCCAGTCCCTTACATAAAATGGCAGAGTATTCACATGTAACTTATACATAGAGGTAAACCTCAAGTTTCAGTTGGACTTATAGACTACTGCCCTTTAACACAGTAACGGTAACATACCACACCCATCTGGTCACCATCACTCCTCACCCAGCCTTACAACAGAGTCATTTGTCAGACAGGTTATCTATCAATTGTTAACACACAGCAGTTCACTTGCTTAAGATTGTGACATCACAGGGCAAACTGGGAAATCTCTTAGCAAATTAGAAAAGCACTTGTGCACCTGAAATTTGTATTAAACACTTTTTTCTTTTACTGTGGAACTTAAAAGCCTTACAGAAAGAATTCATAGATGGTTATCCAAAGTTATTCGTAACTGGAGAACAAGATACAATTGACAATCAGGATCTTCGGGCTGAGATAAGGTAAGAAGAATAAAAAAGATTTAACAGTTACCTTTTCAACATCTGAGAGCGAAGTCAGTGCCTGACTTTGGAGAACTTCTGGTGCAGTAAACGCCCGAAGATCCTGATTGGAAACGTTTTCATCTGTAAACGACACACTACCGGATGGCAGCAACAGCAGAGACCATGGAGAAATGATGAAGCCAAGGGCGGCAGGATCCGCTATGCTCACTAGTTTGCAATTGCACCAAATAAAAAGGAAAAAAATATTGCTTAACATCACAATCAGAGGATCACAGATCACTTCAACAGGTACTGCTGCAGGCAGCCAAGTTAGTTAGAAATATTATAGGCAGTGGGACAGGGCTGGGTCCTCAAAGGCGCCAGTGCAGAAGCCCAGATATCGGGCAACTGTGGGGGACACAGACACCTCCTGCTGTGGGTCAGACCGGAAAGACAAAAGATCAAACAAATACATCCATGTCCTAAAGACCGATAGTTTAAATAGTTCCCTATCACCCTGAGGAAGCCAGAAGTCACCATTCCAACCCCCTAGGGAAGAGTCACAGCTCTGTAAGAATGCCTGCTTTCTTCGGAACTCGCTTTCCCATTTGTCCCCAATTTAATCAATTTTACAATTTTACCTGAACTACTAATCTTATTGGCTAACCATAGTTCTGTCCCACCTTATGCCCGTCTGCCTTGTGAGTTCTCAGTTTTCCCCACCTTGAACCCGTCTCACCCCATGCTTTTGCTCTATAAAAGTCCCTGGAAAAGACAGAGAGTCCTTGGCAAACCACTCGGGACTCTCTTTCGATCTCTCTCAGACAGAAGCTTTCTTTCAAGAAATATATCCTGCTCTTAACCTCTGCTGTTCCTAAAATTCATTCTTCAATTTCAGAGAACTTGAGCTCGTGGACGTAGTAGGTTGGGAGTTTCATTCCCCCTGTGTCAGTACCTCAGCTTGCTGTAAAGGTACTTACAGCCGCTCAATACAACACATCAGCACGCTACCAGGAAAGCACATTTCATAGAAACAGAACTGCTACCATTGTTACACTGTCTGGATCTGGGTGGCTGTTCCTAGAAGCTTATATAGCTTATATCTCCCCAAACCCATTACACCCTGAGAGGCAGTGCTTGTGGAAGGTGACTGGATCACAGAGGTACCACAGCTCACCTTCTGCGAGGAGCTGGGGATGGCTGGAAGAGATGGCTCACTATGGGTGTGACCAGGAAAGATGTATCTCCTTCTTGGCTCCTCTCCCATCCCCTTGCTTCCTGGCTACCATGATGTGAGCAGCTTTCTTCTGCAGACCTCTCTATCAAGCTGTTTCTACTCTGAAGCTGACTAAATATGAATTAAAAACGTGAGCCCGAACAAACTCTTTGGAACCCAACTTAAAACTCCATTAAGTTGGGGTGTCTGATATTGTGCTTCAGTGACAAGGTACAGGACTGCGACAAAATGAAAAACAGAAAATTTTCATTACTGTTCAGAAGAAACTTCATTTAAGTATTACAGTGCAGACTGTATTGATAAGGAATGGTAGATCATAATTTTTTTCTGATCATATTCCATTGAAAAATTGGTGAAAGCTCTCTCTTTCAAGGAGAACACTCATAAACATAAAACTGTTTATAAACCCTAGAGTTCACAGATTCATGTATAGCTCATTTATAGACTCAAGGTTAAGATTCTCTTACTTAGACTACAATGTTCTTAAATTGATAGGAACCAATTCCTTTGGGAATACTTAGATTTGGAATTGGTCTACAATGAAAGTTCTCTTGTTTTGTTTTTCAGTCAAAATATGTCCTTTGCTTATCTGAATCATGGAATTTGGATTCTGTCATTTGCTGAGTTCTTAACTATAGTTTTGGGTGACTTGGATTGTCTACCAAGGTATGCTGAGGGTTCTTTTAATTTCTTGTTTTATTCTTTATTTTTATTTTTTTGGTCCTGGGGATTGAACTTACAACCACACACTTGCCAAGCAGGTGCTCATGCACTGAGCTAAATCCCTGGTTCTAATTTCTTGTTTTATTATCTGCTTCTACATGTGTTTAGCAGTTCAATAGTTAAGAAGAGCTTTCTAAAAATTAATGCCTTAGACTTCAGAAGGACAATTCCAAAAAATAAAGCTATACATTACGTTCAAGAAAACAGACTCATTAGAAGGAACTTCAAGCCTTGTTCTCTCATCAAAAGAAAGTTAATACAGCTTTTAATATAATTTCTAGGTACACTGGGTTACAGGCTTAAGAAACAATGACAACTACAGCAAAGTCAGAGAAAGCTGAGACTGCCAATTGTACTATTCAGTCTGATATACTGTCCTAAGATAGCTCAGAAAGTTGACACAAGCCCAAGGAACTGTCTATCACATATACAGTTACCTCTGTTTTCCTAAAAGCAACTTTTATTAGAGCCAAATGTCCATCTTTGAGGGTCAAGATAATTAGAATCTGATTTTAAAACTTGTTTGTTTTTGTTTTGTTTTGTTTGTTGAGCAGGGTCTCACTATGTGGTTCAGGCTGGTCCTGAGCTCACTATGGAGCATAACCTGGCCTTGAACTCCCGGTGATCTTCCTGCCTCAGTCTCCTGAGTGTTGGGATTACAGGTGTGTGCCACCACACCCGGCCTTTGAAAAAAACTAAGTCATTCTACTTTTAAAGATTAAAATTCCCCTATGTATTTATGAATGAGATATATATTTTTAATAGCTGTGTGGCAAGGGAAATGCTTGGAAAAATGCTTTTATTTTTCTTTCTTTTTCTTGTTGTTTTATTTCTTGGTGGTGGTACTAAAAATTAAACCCAGAGCCTTGCATATGCAATGGAAATGCTGTACCACTTCTACCACTGAAGCATGTCTCCAGCCCTGTCTCTGTCTCAATAGATGTATTTTTTGACACACAGAGTCTCTGCAGTTCAGGCTGACACTGACTGAACCCACGAGGTAGCCTGGGCTGCTCTCAAACTCACGGTGATCCTCTTGCCTCTGCCTCCTGAGCACAGGATTACAGGTGTGCACCACCATGCCCAGGTTATCTATTTATTTTGAAACAAGGTCTTGCTATGTTGCCCAGGTTGGTATTGAGTTTGCCACCCTCCTGCCTCATCTTCCTGAATAGTTACAATTACAAGCATAAGTCACCAGGCCTAGCTTGAAAACAAGTTGAAATTAGTCTGCACATCTTACATAGTGCTGGTGCAGACTTGCAGTCCAATGGCCATCTCAGCCTTTAGCAGCCATGCAACAATTGCTGAGCACAAGTTCTATGGAAAAATGTATTTCAGTGGATGAATGTGCTGGGAATTCTCAGGAAACTGTTGTCTTTAATAGCTACTCTATAATTTTCTGTTACAAGCTTCTTCTTTGGTATTACTCAAGGCAGAGATGCTACTCAAAACCTTGAGATTTCATCTGAAACATGATAAAACAGTTTAAATCAGCCGCTAATGAGGACAAACAGTAAACACTAACCTCTGGCACAAGACGATGATGGTGATGACCACAGCGGACAGTGTGTGTGGGGGGGTGTAGTGGTGGGTAGGAACTTACTGGGTGCAGAGCGGAGTTTAGAGCTAATGACAGTTTTCTGGCAGACGGATGTGCAGGGAGACAAGAGCAGTCTAGATGACCCCAAAGTTTTGCTCCGAGGGACTGGGAAGATGGAGAGTCATCAGCTCAGACTGAGAAGCTTGCAGTCAGGACTGGTGTCTGGAGTGGGGCCAGGGAGTTGTGGTGAGGCATGGGGCTGGGCTTTGACTTCAGAAGTCTGAGAGAGCTGTCTGAACTTGGGGTGCAGCTCCGTAGCAAGGTCCTTGCCTGCCTGCACAAAGCACTCAGTATGATTTCTAGCAACACAGGTGTGTGCGCATGCGCACACACACACACACACACACACACACACACACACACACACAGTACTGGGTAGATACTCAGATGGAGATGGCAAGAAGACAGCTCAACCTGGAGCGCGGGACAGAAGTGAGGATTGAAAATACATCTTGGGAGTCACAGGCTAACAGACAGCATTTAAAGCCCGGTGACTCGCTCATCCGTGAAGCAAGCTGGCACAGATGAGAATTAAATGATCCAGGGCAGTCTTGGGGATAAACGTAAAGACAGACACCCTTCGGCTTTTTCCACCTTGAGTGGCTCTGATAACGAGCACCCACGGAAAATATGTTGTTATAACTCCTCTATTTCCTCCACTCACTAGCACCACTCTCCATCTATTTTTAATTAATTTTTATTGGCCTTTCTGTCCAGATTCCCAGTACAGTACTTAGTCCTGAGCTTAAATTAAGAGGCCTGCATTGTGACTCTCAAGAACAATTGTGAGTATCCCTGTTTTGGAGACAATCTATGATTTTTGGTATGGCTGCTATTACTTTTGGGTTATATTATTAGGGATCACAGCTAACACAGAGGCCTAATACCAGCCAAAAACATAAAAACTGTGTCCTATCTTGCTATCCTGGATGCTGGTATCCACACAGATAAGAGCTTGCTACGCTCTTTCATCTCACCGTGGCCATAGACCAAATCTGTGCCCTCGTTAACATGGTAGTATCACCTGGAAACTGCTGGAGTGAAAGCAGTCTACTGCTGCTTATGACTCTGAAATTATGAAGAGATCCATTCACTTACCAATATAATCAAGCCTGTAAAACTGCTATCCTCTGCCAAAAACTGTATTTTTAAATTTTTCCTTTACACGTTTTTGTTTTTACTGAAATCTAATGAATATAATGTTTTTTAAATATTAGCATTCTATATATTAACACAGTCTTTTCAACATTATAGGTTTTGTTAATGGAGTCCAAAAAGTACTGCTAAGGAGATAAAATATGTACATAATTATATTCAAGATATAAAGTATCTAAGAGAGAAACAGATAATACAAAAGGGAGTTTCAAGGACAGAAAAATTGCTTCAAAAACAATGCATTAAAAAAAAGTCTGTCTCTCTCCCTCCTTTCCTCTCTCTCTTCCTTCCCCTCCCTTCTTCCTTTCCCTGCCTCCTTTCTCCTACCCACCCTTCCCTCCTTTTCTGGCCTTCCCCTTCCCTCTTTCCCTAAAAAAAAAAAAGAAAACACATGTGGCTCCTTAAAAGCAAACATTTGACCATGGTTAAGGGTAAGATTCCAAGAAGAAACAGCCAAAGCAAAGGCATGCACATGTGGTCAGAAAATGATTAAGTCTGGGCAAAGAATAC